ATATAATCTATAATATTAGGTAGAATATTTAATTTCTTACCAAAGCACCTTGGTGCTCCCTTCTCATTCGTTTATATCCACTCATTTGTTCATGCATCTCTTCTTGCATATGTTCTTTTTGTTGCTTCGTAACAATTGAAGTTGTCCTAATTGTTGCAAAATTATTGGCACCGTGTTCAAGAAGATTGGCAGTGACACCACCTGCTGAGACCTTATGCCGATTTCTGACAGATCCCGAAGAGTAGTCATTACCATCAGCATTCGGCAGCGGCAGGCTATTGGTGGAGGAACTTTGAGAGCTTGCTGAGACGCCCATCGAGTGAATTGAGTGTTCTGAGGTAATTGAATTGCTTTTGCTACTATCACCACCTGTTTGTTCATCAGGAGTATCTGTAAGTGATTACAGTTTTCAAGATTCAGAGCTATCAGTAAAGAAAATTTAATTAGCATACTCAAGAGAAAGATACGTAAAAATAGTAAGTTCACTAATTGTAAGTGTTGATAGATAATTGACGTTAACATACCGTCAGCGTCACCAACTGTGCTCTCAGTCTCGCATGCGTCGATCATCAAGATTTTCTTCATTTTACGATAATTCAAATTATCTAATTCCCGGACAGCAGCTTTCGTTCTCTGTATCAAATCTATCAAAACTTGAGGAGAACGTGGTCTCGTGACAAATTGATGCTGTAAAATTGAAAGCCTATAAGAGAACAACTAGACTACTACTAACATACTACATACAACGTAATAAAAAAAAAAAAGAGAGAAAAGATACGGATGTAAAGTGTCGCTGATATACATAAGGACAACTCACTGATAACAGTTTCCCGGATGTTGGTCTCTCAATTGGACTCTTTGTGAGACACACCTCGACAAAATGCCGAAAAACATCAGTCCAATCTGGCGAATTTAACGTTGGAGTGTCGTTTTGTGCAATATGATACAAGGCGCTCATTGCATTCATATTAAAATAAGGTGGCTTTCTTTCCGCTATAATCAATAATATAAATAATGTAAGTTTTGTGTTTAAGCTAGAATAAATAATAATTATGATATAACTCTTGCTTTGATAAAACAGAAAACTTAAGTTATTAATTAAATTACAGAATTTTGAAAAATTAGATTAATATCTTACAATATCTCGAATAATTATTTTGTTACTTTGTTGAACATGACACAAAATAAATTATCATAAATTCAGATTCTGAATAATAATTGTGCAAATTTTAACATGGTAACAGTTATTTTAAATCATTGATATGCAAAAGATACTGATGCTTATATGCAATAGGTTTTTATACACAATATATTATATTCAATAATACATTAAATATTAAATACACGTACCTAATTCGATGCAAGTTATTCCTAATGACCATACGTCAACCTTGCCATCATATTGCCCCTCGTCCATAGCCAATATAACTTCTGGTGCCATCCAGTACGGAGTCCCTACGAAGCTATTGGCTGGACATTTTATACTCGCGGACCCAAAATCAGCTAATTTGACTGTACCGTTCTCAGTAAGTAGGATATTTCCAGCTTTCACATCACGATGGATTCTCCCGAGGGAGTGAAGATAGTGCAAGCCGCGCAATACACCTTCGCATATTGCAGCTATCTCCTCTTCCTTCAGTGGTCTTTTATGTACTTCGATAATGTCTGATGCGGAGCCAAGACAATATTCCATCACCAACTGCAAAACGACACGCAACGGCACGGTTTTAATATCGTTTATAAAAGGCTACTTTAAAAGATGTAAAATATTGACAAATTGACTGAACAGATATAAAAATTCGGTGTATCGCACATACCCAGGCAGTGTGGTCCCTGAGATAGCAACCCTTATACTCTATAGTGTTAGGATGATTAAGTTGCCTAAGAAATCGAATTTCCTTTAAAATGTCCTGCCACTTTTCCACCGTTTGCTTCCCCAGGTAAGACATTTTCTTGATGGCAACAATTTCTTTGGTAACCAGGCATCGGGCATAGTAAACAGCCCCGAAACTGCCATGCCCGATCTCGCGCAGATCCTCAAATATTTTCTCCGGATCATTTTTCTCAAATAATTCGGCAATCTCTGGGTCCTTTAAACTACCAGGCCTTGCAACAGCTGGCATAGTCGAGTTGTTGATAATTAGATGCCCGAGGCCTAGTCCAGATACCTTGCCCTGTTATCTTTAGATTCCTTGCCCGAACCGTCTGTTTTTATTGAATCCTCTGTCAGTCCATTCCCAAATTTAACATTCTATCTATAAAAGAAATATGTTTTAGATGCAGATATTTTGAGCTAGGTAAAATTTAAAGTTACAGCAATTAATGTACAATCGCACCGTCATAATTCTCATCTCAAATTTTAATAAAGACTTTAATAAAGAATTTACATGTTTTATTATTTGCAAATCATATTAACCAGTTACCATATACACGCAGCTAATTAAGAATGACTTTTCAGCAAAAATAAGTAAACTCTCAAATAAATAATTGACTTAAAAATTTCATTAATTTATAGCATCACCATTAATCTTTGCCTAGTTAGATAAATGGTGTACGTAGTGCTACGAATTAACCAGATCATCATTCAGTTACAAAACAATATATTCAATTGTGTCTTCCTAAAAATTTCCTCTCAAGAGATCTCGATAAGTCTTCCAGTTTGACTACAGTCTCACGCTAAAGATTATTTCGAAAACACAGTTTTCCTATCTACTTATGCTCTCGAATTTCGATGTACGTTTCGCAATTAAATCTCCCGTGAAATTTTCAACTTTGAGCTCATGAAAAGAGTCCACGTCTCTCTTTAACTTCTCGGGAGAGAGACCGCTCGTGTATTAGAAGTCGGAGGCACCTTCCTCCGAGCCGGATGCACCTCGCGCGTGCTTTACGAGCATAAGGACGGAAGTGCACACTGAACGGCAGCACGGCGGGTCGAAAAATGCAAAAAGCACAATAACAAACGTTTACTACGCTCGGCCCATTGTCCGAGCCCGGTCGTCGTCGTCGTCGTCGTTGTTTCCGTTTTTTATCTCGTCCGCGGGAGCGAGAATCTAAATGCGATTTCCCCCGTGGTCGCGATGGCGAGAAGGGCGAGGAGGAAAACACGTAACGGCTCAAACGACACAGAAATAGGCACGTTCTTCCCGTAGGAGCGACGAGAACGAGAACCGCCGCACTCCCGTCATTGTTGTCGCGTTAGTCACGTTACTCGCCGCGGCCTCGAGTGGCTGTGACACTAGTGTGTATCATCGAGGAGGCCGTCCTCTCGGCGGAGAGGAGGAGACTATCCGCGGTCGTCGTTTCTGTCGCGCGACAGGACCGGATCAGCAACGAGAAAGAGAGAAAGAGAGAATGAGAGGAAAGGGGAGAGGGGCTCGAGAGGCAAAATTCGGCAGGGCGCGCACGAGAGAGAGAATTATCGACGCGCGGCGCCGAGGGGGAAGTATCCTTAACCGCGAGCCACCTCCGGGCCCCGAGAGAGCGCGATCCTTCGATCTCGCGAGAGATCAGTGGCGACGCGACGTCAGGAAATTCGCTCGCAAAGAGGGGAAAAGGGAAATTTGCGGGCAGACCGGACGATAGCGATGACGACGACGACGACGAAGACGACGACGAGAAAATTCACAGGAGGTGGAGAAATGCGGGCGTAAGGAGGGTTGGGTCCTCGGCGCTCGTCGGCCCGATCGGGCCCCCTACCCCACCTCTTCCCGTCGCCGTCCTCGTCCGCCGTTCGCCTCGCGCTCCACCACACCTCCCCCCATCCGCGTCGCGGTGCAACGCTGCACCGTCGACGTCGACGACGACGACGAAAACATGCACCTCGCGTTATAGCGCGCGCGTCACGACTCACGACGGCCGGTCCCGTCCGTCCATCCGTCTGATCCGTTCATCCGCCCGTCCGAGTCCGTTCGGGTGGCGGCGCGACATCGCGCGGTCTCACGCGCCGCGACCCCGCGGCGGGTGGAAGTCCCGCTGGGTTCGCCCAGGGCAGGGCCACGGTTCGGGCTAAAAAAGGGCCGAGAAAATCGTATTCACCTCCAAAATGGCGAGGGAGCGGGCGGGGAAAGCATGCGCCTCGCAGGCTCCGTGTGTGTATGCGCTCTCCTCAGGCGGAGGTGGCGGCGGAGGAGGAGGAGCAGCTCTCTTTCCTGTACCTGGCCGCCGATCCCGTGGGCATAATTAAGCGCCCAACGATCCCTCGGGCGAGCCCGTTGCTGATTCGTGAGAATCGTGCGCCGCGCCCCGGAACAATACACGCCTCCTCGTCGCCGTGCCGTCGTCGCCGTCGTCGTCGTTGCCGTATACGCACGTCACGCACGCTCCTATACACACACGTATACACACATACTCACACACTCTCCTCTCTTTCGCGTGAGCACGCGCGCGCGCGCGAGAGAGAGAGAGCACTCCACTCTCGCGAGACAGCGACCGACGATGGGTCCACACCGTACCTAGGGTCCACGGACGACCGCAGGGACCGTGCGCGAGGATTCCTCCACCTGCGACTCACGTCCGATTTCACTCGTCCCGCTTCGTACCGTACTTGCACCGTATACACCGTACACACCACACGGCACACACCAGGCGCGAGAGCCAGCGAGAGCTCTCAGAGCCGTCCGTTCGCGATGGCGGTAGCGCTCTACGCCGGTCACGTTGCGAACTAACCTCCTGGCGGTTGTGTCGCGCTGCCTTATCGCGGTGCGATTATACATCGAACGATTTTTCCCACTTATCGATCGACGAAAAGCTCGAGCAGAGAGATTTTTAAACCGTATTGTACTAATAATACTAATAAATGCTTAAATCGCGCGTATTGTATCACGACAAATTTTGTAATATAAATAGAAAAGTTCTTATTATGTATTCGCCTATTGCAGCAATGTATTTTCATGTATATGCATATATGTACAAAATGCATAAATTAACATCTATAAATGTTAAAAAATTCTTATTTTTTAAGAGTTATATATATATATAGTTGGATGAATATAAAATAAATAGAGAAGAAATATATTTACAGTTTTTCGTTATCACAAAAAAATTTAAATATTCTATTTCGGTATTTTTAATTAAAGCAGTTTTCTTTTCACGTGCGTTCCAAATCTTCCATCAAAGAAGTGAGAAACGTGTCGCCATTGATTAACCTAGTAGTTCCCACGACGAACTCGACATTTACTACAAGAAAATTTGTATTATGTTTGCGTCATATTTATATTCCATAAATCTTTACTTATTGATTTGTGCAGACAAGTACTTCGTAATCTATTATGACACTTACAGTCTTCTTGTTGCGATAGAAACCGGAGAGCAGATATCTCGGCGAAAGTGCATCCTCCGATAAAAAATACTAGAATTAATTTTGGTGGTTCCGAACTAGAATCTTCGCTGGTAATAGAATTTCCTGAAATAAATATTTATTTTTTGTAGAAAATAAAAAAAATTTTAAACAAGCTATAAATAAACCAAGATTTAGTCTTAACTTACGTCTTACTGATGAGGATACATTGTACGGGACGCTGCTTATGGTAGGTCCTGGTAATAATCCCATCACGTCGTTCAATCCTTGCCATCCGTTTAGTTGTACCAGTTGCTCCGCTAGTCTCACGCTCAGCGGTGCATATATGGAATGTACGTAACTGATATCTTTCGGTGCTATTTCACTCTCGTCCTCGACAGTGAGCCTCAATGCTTTTCTTAAAACTGCGTATTGTCGCACTGACTGCTGTTGCTTCAATAATCCAGCCTTTTCCAGATTTAATATAGTTGGCAAATGTTGGAATCCATAAGTGTGAATTATTTCTCTCTTATAGTAATCTAGCAGTTTTGGTTTTAGACCGGAGTTTGTCAACGATTGTATGCAAAGGAGACGTAGAACTTTGAGTAACGGTTGTTGCTGCGCTATCATATCTTCGATGTACGCATTTGGCTTGTCCGTGTCGATACAGTTTAACAGTTCTTGCTCGACTTGCAACGATTCCAAGAAGTTGCTCGAGTCGGTTACCTCTTTTATCATCTCGGCGATTGTGGTGTCTAGTTAAAGAGAAATTACGATAAATTATTAAAACAAGACCAAAAATAATAAATATCGCGAAAGAATTGGAACATGAATCCGTATACATGTATTTATTACTTACGTCTTGCTAAAGATTGCTTTGTTGCTAGCATATGTGGTAATCTCGCAACAAACTGTTTAATTTCTTGCACGCTCTTGTCGCCGTGTCTCTCGTCAAACTGTGATGAAATTACTTTAGCTTTCTTACTAAGAACTGGGCCAACACCATTGAAATTTTTATCTCTGCAAGAGTAAAATGTCGTAAAGAATTGTCAGAAAGAATTTTACGTAGTTACGTACCTGATCTCAGCAAAAAGTTCTTCTCCTGAATTTAATATGATTTGTTCCTTATCGTTTAGAGACATTGATGTGGGAGAATCGTCAGAATCATGGAATTTTCTTGCAGGTAATTGCACAGTATCTAAAATAAAAAAGATACTTCTGTCACTACGCCACGTATCGTATACACATTAAAAGTATATGTTATAAAATTGCAATTTTAAAATATAAAAAATATATAAGACCGATACTTACTGTACTTTATTCCGTATATTTCGTCGATTAACCCTTCATATGTCAACTGCGTAACTAGAGGCGAGAGTAAATCTACAGATCGATCCAGTAATAATAAGTGTTCAATGGCAACGGAGCCCGAGACCGGGAGTGATTTGTTATCTTCCTCTTCTCTATTTAGCCTTTCCAGCAATTCCCAAACCTTGCTGGCAGCTGGTCCCCTTCCCGTGACTTTCGAGATTTTCCCGTACAATTTTTGCAAGCCTTGTATGGCCTGCGCGACTTGATACAGGCAAGTGGGATCGTTTTCCAAGTGGAACTCCTTGAAGGATCCGCTCAGTTCCATCGATAGCAGATCGTTGTCAAACGGAAAGAGATCACATTTAAATTCTTCTATCAGCGTGAAGCTGCCAAAGACACCGCGATTCTGGAGCTTCTTTTGACAAAGTAGACTCTTGCGTGGCACAAAGAACAAGTGAAATTCTTTACGCGGCCTCTTGCCCTCTTCTCTGTAAACACATGAATAAATATATTTTTAAATATTTTTAAAAATATACAATTTATGTTAGGATTATAATAAAATTTAAAAGTAGCAGTATTGTTTCATATCCGTATCAATACGCAATTTTGACTTTATTATTTGCACATGACTTTCTTTTGGATTCCTTTGTTAATATCATTGAATATATAACTTGTCTACAATAGCCGCAAAAGTATGCAGTAAGACGTAAGCAGTAAACTATTAACTAATGAGATTTTTTTCAATTCAAGAATAATCAACTGTAGTTGGTCAATAGCTTACTGCTTATGTTTTACTCAGTCTTACTGCATACTCTTACGGCTATTGTAGAAGAGCCATTAGGCCCATTAGATACATTAAAATCACATATGTATCTGGTGACATATTCGCTGTATACCTACCCATGAACATTCTCGGCAATCAGATCCATGAGCTCTAACTGCGGCCTCGAGATGAATATGACATTACTAATGTTAGGCGGTATTGTCAAGGTTCCACCGTACAGCGGGTACATCTTCACAACACCGTACTCTTCTAGCAAATTGTACTTGGCGACAAGACCGATCGGTCCGGCCAACGACTGATCCCATATAATAGCCTGTGCAAAAGTGAAAAGAAGAACATAAGAACGTGTGAATTTGTAATTAAAGAATTGATTCCTTGAGAAGAGGTTAGGTCGAAGTACCTTTGGGCCATCGCACTTCTCCAGCAGACAAAGCAGTCGCTTTCTCGCCTGTTCCTGAACAAGCCCGACGTTCAGCCTACCTCCCGCTAGATACGACATAATAGCTCTGTAAAATTTTACAATGCATCGACTGTACGTAACATTTTATCAGACGACCGAGACTGCTTGATTGGATACACTGTCACTGTGACACGACGACGTCGACGACACACTGACACAATGGATATAGTGATAGTGATGCAACGACGGAGCAAAAAAAAAATTTCATATTCCAACGGTGGCGCAAAAAAATGTTATATCACAATAGCGGTAAAAAAATTTATATCCCAACAATGGCGAAAAAAAAAAAATTATATCCCAACAGTGGTGCAAAGAAAAAATTTTATACCCTAATGGTATATAGCACAAAAAAGGAATTTTATACGATTTATACCCCAACGACAAAAGAAAAAAAATTTCATAATTCAAGTGCGGCGAGAAAAAAATAATCTATATTTCAATTAATTGCCGAGAGCTGGTGCCCTCTCGACAAATATTGCGGCCGGTTATAAATAAAGGCGATTTCGATCAAATTATGATTCGACTTATGTACCTACATTTCTACCAATGTAGATTATTCTCGGTTTAACTTACTTTTATCTTTTTCTAATTCTTAGAACTAGAAAAAGATAAAAAGTTGCCAAGTACAAAGTACAATTTGCTAAAAGAGTCGGTGTCGAGAAGATGTATCCACTGTACGGTGGAACCTTGAAAAAGTTAATCTGCATTGGTAGAAATGGACATTAATCATGGATTAATTTATTAATTAATATCTTATGAAATACTGTTTTGTTAACATGAATAGAATTATTAATTTCTGCTGTCTATTATGTGGAAAAAGGACGAAATTATGACGAATTGTGTAATCAAAAATCTTGCTTTAAGCAATTGTTGCTGATTAAATTAATCGCCGCTTAAATTAACTGGAGTTGGCCTAAATAAATAAGTTTTGAATTTTAGAGTTTGCTGTATAAATATTATTTCGCGTTTTTTTATTCAGATTCAGACCGTATCGAATAACCGCGGTGATTGGTTCGCTGCCTCGACAGTTTCGATATCTCGAAAGTCGCGATAACGCTTCTCGATAACTTTCTCAAGTCGTCAGTCGTCACCCCAGCAGTCGAAGGACACGCCGCGATGGGGGATCACGCACTACGCATACGCAGGATCACGTTCAAATCGTATATCGAATCGTGTATTTTTCACGAATGTACGTCATTATTCGCCGTATCGAGCCCGTCTTGGGAATCGGGTGGCAAAAGAAAGAAGAAAAAGGAGAAGACACGAATAATGTTATCGCCTAAAAGCGAATCTCTGGCGCGAAAAGTTCCCGCGAGTGTCTCATCGTAAAGTATCGGACAGTGTTCGTCGTAGCGCGTCAAAGATGGCGTACAACCGTCATCGCCGTGATTTTGACATCGACGATCCGCTTCCGTGCGCCCGAAATCGATCGAGACTCTCCTCGTCCGAAATGCATCGAAAGTGCAATTCAACATTGTCATTAGGTATATATATGTACATATATGCATATCTTTGTTCTAGCAGCCGCGCCGATTATGTAATATGCGTTTTAGAATATTTCAAATTTCACTTTTGCATCGAACAGCAGCTCCGTTCGTTTCAATCACACTTTTTTTATTTATTTCCTTGGCTCTTTTTTTTTAACGGGTAAAGCCACTCATTTCGTATGATGCAATTGAAATGAATTCTATTAATAGGCCTAATTACAGCGTGAAATTAGTTAATGCGATTGCATATCGGGTTAAATTTGCGTGCTACATATTTAAATATTCGCGTATCATGGAGAGTCTGCTGGGCATTCGATGATGATAATGATACTATATATAGAAATGTTGTAATACTTTTTAACATATTATTCTTAAGCCTTAATTGTGTTCGCGATGCTGGAAATCACTCATCCGAGATCTCGGACGGAGAAAGAATTAACCAATCGCATTCGGCAATTGGTCAATTGCCGAATTATTTAAATACGATTGGCGAATTTTTTCTCCGTCCGCGATCTCGGAGCGATTTCCAGTATCGTGGACACAAGGTTTTTATAAAAAAATTAAATTATTACCAACAGTCACGATATACGCGAATATTCAGACACGAAGCATGCGCTCCGAACATGCACCCCCTAGCAATATACATGCGCATCTTCATACGGTATACGCCATTAATGATCCCGCCATTAATGCGCGCGCGGGTGCGTACTTCGAGAATCGTGAATCTCGTGACGTCGCGCGTCGTTCTCCGACCGATAGATTTCGCCGTCGGCGCCGTCGCTGTCAATCATCGATACGAATCACGGCGGATTGCGGATCGCGTATCGCTCTGAAATCCGGTAACGCATTTTTTTCGGGGAATTATCGCGCGAGCGCCTCGTAAAGTGTCGATACGCCGTCGTAACGCGTTAAACGTCGCGTGTCGGTTGCCGTTACACGCCAATCTCCTGATTGCAGCGATCAGCGTCCGTGCGCGTGGAACAGCATGGAATCGACCGAGATCCGGACTCTTCGTCCTGCTACCCCTGCTCCTGCTACTCCTGCTTCGTCGGCGGCACGCTATTCTCTCGCCGAGATGCGTCACGAGCGCGATGAGCGCGGGATTATTGCAAGGTAAGTGCACGCATCGTCTTTTTTCTATATATAACAATTCATTGCGTCGAAAAAGCAGACGGTTGTTAGACTGTGAGAGAAGTACCTACTGTTTACAAATCTCGCAGCGTTTTGTATGCATCGACGAGATGCTAAAAGCCAGGGTTAATTTGCGGTAAATTTCGAGATTACATCTACATGGATTGCTCACGTATTGTTTACATTATGTTTACATGAACTTTTTCCATGTAGACAATATAAATTGAATTATTATAAATTATTGTAAATTGAATAATTTATTGATTGACTTATTAATTTCTTTAAATTATATTTTTGCACAGTCAAAAATAAAAATAAAAAGTAGTTTTAAACTAGGCTATTTAGAGGCATTTCAGTTATAATTTCTTTATTAATTATATCTACAGTGACATAAAAATAAAATTTTAAATAAAATAAATTTCCTATATTTCTGAAAAAATATAAATGTTTGACGATCTATAGATACTGCTTGTTTACATTATGATACGTAAAACATAATTTACACTGTATACACATGTAGATGTAGATCATTATATTTTACGCGTAACCGCCCAATTCTGGCTAAAACTCATAATTACGATATAAAGACTATAATTAATTTCGAAACTATTTTTACTCTTTAAAACACTCGGATAATAAGGAGTAATATTGGAGTAATTGGAATATTAAATAGATAATAATTTAATATTTACCCGTATTAAATAAAAATTTAAGAGAAGATTAGAAAAATAAATTTATTTGTAAAATTCTCTTGCCCACGGAAATGAGACATGGGTCGGTTAATTTTAAAAAAGTTAATTTTAATTATTGATTTAATTTCGTCACACACCCTCCCTTTTTCACACATATTTAAAATAATTATACATTTGTATTGATTCTTTCTGAAAAACAGCTATGCGTTTAGATCTCGTTAGATCTCGAGAATTTTCCGGAAAAATTTACCGGATCAATGTAAGTACACTTTATTTTTACAACAAAAATTTACTGCTATAGAAATTGGTACGAGAGAGAGAGAGAGTAATATGAATAATTCTGCATATATGTACAATAAATCGATAAAATTAGGTATAGGTACAGTTTATTGTTGCGCTTATTTTTCTGGATGATTATTTATCTCTTCGCGTTTTCTCGGTTCGCGACGCGCGATATCCGGAGGATTGTTATCGGTTTGTATCAGATCAGGGCCGAGTGCGTACCTATTTCTGTGTCTGTAGCGCACTGTGTCAGCGTTCCGGAGACTGCGCAGCATTCCGCGCGGATAAACGAGGACCACGCAGGGGGCTACGGGGAGAGGATGCGAATAGGGGAGGCACTATGGTTTTTAATCCGCGGATGTAACGGCGGTGGGGACGGCCCTCTCCTTCCGCCGATACGACTCCATTCCCTGTACCGACGTTCTCATCCACCCCTTCTCGACTCGGCTCGGTTGCTTTCCACCCCACCGTCTTCTTCCCCCGTCGCCCCAGCACCCCACCACCGTCGTCGATCCTCCCGCCACGTCGTCCGTCGTCCCGACGTCCTCTCTCTAACACCCTCCGTGCTACTCGCCAGGCGGGGGTCGCTACCGGTCTCCTAGTGACTTTCGTCGTCGGGGGTCGCGTGACACGTGCGTGAGAGAATACCGGTCTCGTTCCCGGTCCCGGTCCCGATTTCGACCCGGCACGACGATCGAGTGGTTCCACGTCGGCGTCGCGACCGCGTGAGATCGGCGAGAGATTGATCGGTGACAGTGGTTGGCGATCCACCGAAGTCGCGGTTTCGCGGCAGGTCCGCGAGAGATCGACGATCTCGTGCCGGATGACACTTGGTGATCCGAATCCACGAGTCACAGAAGGACGGCGGGAGATCGGAGATCGCGACACCTGAAACCCGGTGATCCATCGTCATCGGACAGCTCCGTCGTTGATCGTCGCGATTGTGCCGACAGCTGTCGCGGACGACTCCTCGAGGTGGGCTCCTTGAAGATTCGTGCGCGCGTCTCGCTTGAAATGGTTTCCATCCGGGAGTACGGCGGATCCGGTGTCTTGTGGCATCCGTTAAAGATCGGGTATCCTCAAGTAGTCAACGAAGTTTCGAGCAGTTTGCTCCGCGGAGAGCCTTAATGCGGTGTCGACCCCGATACTTCGCCGTAAGTGCGTCGATCGCGGCGATCAGAGAGACGATCCACACGGGCGACGCGACAGTCAATATTTGATCGAATTATACCGCCACTTTGCAGTTTCGTCATTAAAATCCGCTCTGCCGTCACGTAACCAGCTCTCATCCCTGTACTGGTTATCAAAATTATTTCGCGAGTGACATCGTTTTTCTTCAGTCTTCATGAGCGTTTCGCGGAGAGTTACGACAATCCCGTAATCGGAAGTCGTTTTCTCGTCTTGTGTCATTACGGCTTTTATCGTCGTAACGTTCGCGTCGGCGAGCGTTGCTTGACATTTCACCTTCTCTTCGTTTTCTATCCCATCACGATCTATTTGGTTTGTCTCCTCTTTACATTCGTCACTGATATTTGATTATCGGTTGAGGAACTGATAAAACAATTACATTTTTTCTCTCTCTGGTGCACGCAAAGACGATGCCATGACGCACGAACGAAGATATCGCGAAATCAACTTCGCGGTGTCACATCATTAATTCAAAGCGATTTCTCTAAAATAAGGTATCCGCGGCCGGGTGAGTTATAAAAAGCTTTAGATCTAGGAAGCGAAGCGACGTTATAATTGGATCTGGTCCAACAATTTCTCCATTTTAAAACGATACGACGTTGAAAGACTCGTGCAAAGGGGAAGACGATATAATCGCGTAAACCAACATTTAAGGCAACTGCCGTGGAATTGGATCTGTTTTGTGGAAATGTGATCGCAACCAAAAAAAGATATAGGAAAAAAAAGGAGTTTGTAAGAGATTAGCCAGGCTATAATTCCCTTATAGCGCCGTCTTTTTCGTTTTAATTTGACGAAGTTAGAGATGAAAAACAATCTTCGGAGTTCTCATTGTCTTAAGAACGGACTCGGTCCTTAATCGACGTTTCTTCTTCGGCTTCGTTCACTGGAATTGTCATCTTCGTTGACATTGTCGAGTCAATTAAACGTAACAGAATTTTACCTTTAATTATTAATAAAAATTCTTTTTTTTTATCTTTCAGATTAACTTCAACTTCATTATTTTTTAAGTAATTACATTGAAATCACATTCGGCATTAAAGAATTGGAAGTGTTATAAATATTATGTATGCCGAGATTAATTATTATTTCACTGTTTATCGTTGACAATTTTATCTGTATACAATACTTTATATTACTTCCTTTGACACCACGTCATGCATAGCTCAAAGTTCAAAGCGAACAGGACTTGCAGAAATCTTATATTTTCTTTTCCTCGATCAGATATCTCTCCTCAATATGACTCTCATAGGTCTTTCTCAAGCAGCTGCCAATATACTTCATCCTGGTTTCTTTCAAATTCTTTATAATCGTCAACTCGAGTAATCGATAACGCTATTCAACGTGTGTTCGCGTTTATTTTAAAGATGCGAAGATTCTTTTAAATTGAAACGAACGTGCTTGCAAGAAAGTAAAAATTAAACAAAATTAAAAAATTAAAAGAAAAATTGTAAAAGATTTTTTAAATGAGACCTGTCAAAAATGTAAGTTTATATGCACAATATAAAATAGAATACGATATAGGAAGAATAATGCGACGAATTGAATTATAAAGTCTTATTTCATGTAATAGTGACTTTTCTCAACTGGAATGAATTAAATTATAGACATATAAAAGATACATGTAACGATATATTACATATACCTTTTATATGTCTGTAATTTAATTTATTACACTGAGAAAAAAAAAATTGTCAATCCCAAGAAATATTTAGTCCGATGCGTTCAACTAAACATTTTAGTTAGTTAACTAAACATTAGTTGAATTAATTAATTCTTGATTAAAGAAACGAAATAAATTGTTGAAACAACTAATATTTAGTTAACTAACTAAAATGTTTAGTTGAACGTATCGGACTAAATATTTCTTGGGATTAACAATTTTTTTTCTCAGGGTATATAGATTAGTAAGTGCATTTATTAACAAAAAGTTAATTTTAAATTAGTATCTTTAAATAATTATCGTTTTTATACGAATGTATACATGAATATTTTCGGATAGAGTTAGGATAGAGTTAGGACAGAGTCACATTGAAACGTAATTTATCCATTGCTTTGTTCACGGACTGGCGAGAGCTATATATGGAAGAGCATGTACGTTTCTCCATTTGTCGGCTTCGCCAAGCCGAGAACTGTCGTTCAAGAGCATATCGTAGCGGCGAGCGCAATCGCGAGCGTCGAGGTGCGGCTGCACGTCGTCGGTTCGTGCCCGATGCAGTTTATGATAATATTTAATCCGGTTACAGCGAGACGGGTGTACGTGGAGCGCGAGCACACACTCGTCGGAGCTCTCGGACGTGGTGCGGTCGACGCGGCCAGTCGATTATTCCGTTCCGACTGTGTCGTCGTTGACGACGTAATCCAGTTACAGCCCCGAGAGCTAACCAACGCTACGTCAGTTCGCGCCCTGGTCGCTTCGGTTGAGTATTTTTTTTTCACCAGCTCGCACTCGATCGTGGGATACGCGGTCGGACTGGCGCGCGATCAATCTTCCGCGCGAGTGACGCCGCGGAGTGATTTTGTCGCGTGGATTTTAACGCGCCGTGCGTCCGCGTTTTAACACGATTGCTCGCCGACGACGACGGCCACGCTCGTCGACCGATATGTCGTTCATTCATCCGCATTACGCGCCGATGTCATTCATCGATATAGTTTCCTGCGTCGATCGGTAACGCCGCCGTTGCCGCATCCTATCGGTGAACCGTTCTTGGCGATCGCGACGTTGTGCTTGTGCATCCCGTGTGAACCGGAGGAAGTAGAGTCCCTATTCGGGCGATCTAGCCGCAGTTAGCGTCGCGTCGAAACGTAGTTAACGTACTCGTCGAAATGTCTGGCCATCAAAATATCGAAGTTTCCGCGATATTGAATATCGTCCCCTTGTAGCCGGTTGACCATTTCCCTTCGCGGTTACGAAACTGAATTACGAATGCATCTCGTGCATCTCGCGGGAGAGCATTATTCGGAGAATATTATATATATATACGGACATCTAAAGATCATAGGTCGCATGCATGGTCATGCATTATAGATCTAAAGATCGTACTGGTTGGAACATTAAAGCTGTATTCTTCATCAGCTTGCACTCATTGTGTCTTACATTCATCTCGTCTTTTCGCTATATCGTTGTCATATCCTATATAATACGAGATTGAACATCTCGAAGCACAAGACCGTTGCGTACACATTGTGCGTTTATATTATGCGTTTAAAGATACGCGCTTGCGTTATATATACAGATATAGATCTCCGAAGAGCGTAGGTCCAAATATATATCAAAGCTGCTGTGTTAAGTTATCTCTTTGCATAAAGTTGCTTCATTATCGCTCTCCTACCTCGTGGGATAATCCGAGGTACGCGCGGTGTACGATGAAACATTAAGTGCCACGAGCCACAAGCACCACGATCCCCCGTGAACCCCGAAGTGTGTGAGATATCTATAGTTCTGGGTATATTAAAACTTTACTTAATCGCGAGCGCAGCCATCGTTCTCAATTGTCGGACCGTCACGGTGATATTGCAGAATTCAAGAAGTGCCGCTTCACGACGAGCCTCTCAATCTTCTTTCCACGAAGACTTTCATCGTGATTTGTGACAGGGATAATCCGCATTTCGCTTCGACCGAGGAATTAAAGAAAGTTTTCATCTCCAGTTTTGATGGATCTACCAACGACGTCCAACGATAGTTAGAATATAGTCCTTCCCTTGTTTTCATGGTAAAACGTCATCTGTAGAATTGAGCCCGAAGGGGGTAAAAAAAAAAGGACAACAGCTGCGAATAACGTGGAAGACGAGCGATCGAAGGCGAAGGTGGAAGGAATGTACAATACAGGAATACAAGTATCGTTTCGATCGATTGGCTAAGCTGGTGGGACATTTTGCAGCTTCCCCTTCGAGTTCTCTCGAACGATTGATATACATATACACATACACATACGTAACACACATACATACGGATCGTGTAGGCTTCACTCACGAAAATTCGCAGAATCGTGATGCACAAGTGGCAAGAAGCAGTAAACGGTAACGCAAACGATCGTTCCTACAACTGTATGATCTAATCAGCGAATCGGTTGATTGAAGTGGCTCGTTAGATCACGTCCGACGTATTACCAGTTCGAATTGTTCGCGCGAGTGATCACGGAGTGAAGCATCGCGGTATCGAAGGATGGAGAGAAATCGGAGGAACGCGAGGTCGCACAAACGTGGAAGGACAGGATTTGCGTACCCGTGCGTTTCCTCTTGAGAGGCTCCGCGACGTGCCTCCGACCGTATATTCGCGCGTTAAACGCGAGCGCGCCGATTGATCACGAATCAGCAAACAGGGTGCCGTCGGTGATGTTTGCCGAGCGACGGGGAGACGTGCGTAATATAAGTTTGCCAATCAACGCGAGAGAACGAGAACGCGGAACGTGCGAGCGCATATCTCGCGAGAACGAATTCCCAAGTCACCAGATAACGTCTATCGATTGGAAATATATCGTCGCACCGTCGAAAATTAACGGAACACCCACTAAATGTGTATCGAAAATCGAAAGATATCCGTCACACGAAAGGGGATGAAAAGTTTATCCTGTCGGCTTTTATTCAATCGTATATCTTACACTTTTTAATCGAGTATCCGATCGGATAATTCGGGCATTGTGCGGAAATCTCACGGGAGAGAGAGAGAGAGAGAGAAAGAGAAAGAGAAAGAGGGAGAGAGAGTGTCACGATGGAGAAGTGACTGTATCGGAGGGCCGAGTGCTGAATTAGAAGTCAAGGGAGATCGACGAAGTGGAAGCGAGGATCGATCAGTCGACGTGTGAGATTCGACCAAACGGCAAAGGGAATTCTGGGATCACGGTGGTCAATCGTTGCGATCGATCGAGCTTTAAAACGTCGCGGAACGAGCCGAGTGCGACGTGTCGAGAGGAGGCACCGAAGAGCGAACGAGAGCTGCCCGGAAGGACCATCAGCGGGAAAAGAGGAAGACGCGGAGGCGGGAGGTCACGTACACTTGTATTTTTTGCCCTCGCGGGAAATCAGCGACCGAGGAGCGGAGCTGTCAAGAGTACAAAGGATAGCGAAACAACGTTGTCGTTCTTTACCACGGTGGGCCGACAAATTGATAACGAGTCGATCGTTATATCACGCCCTACGGAAACGAGATTCGTTTGAGCAGGAAGGGGGAAAGGGCGCGTCTAGGAGTGTGTTCTTTAAAACGATTCGCGAAAATCGTAAAAGCTTCTCCCGGCATTCACTGATGCTCGTTTTAACTGCATGCCAGAGAATTATTTTCAAGCTTCATATGGCAAATCTACCGGCGTGTTTCTCTGCGCCGCTCGCTGCTGATCAAAAGAACGGCTCGGTCGTAGCACGAAGAAAAGAGCGGAGAAACTAGAAGCGTAAAGACGTTGTGCGGTTTTCCGATAGAAAATCGTGGCCCGCCGTGAGACAATTCCAAAAATTCTCTTCAGACAAGGTAGCCGAGAAACGAATTTCGAGAACAGATCGAGGAGCAGTGAACGAAAGTAACGGCAACACGAATGTCACGAGAAAGCATATAATTCAACGAAGTTTTATCCTTTTCTCCCCGCTTCTCTCTTTCACTCCTCGGGAACTTTTGGCGCGGCAATTTATCCTATCCGCGCGCCGCCCTTCACGGTGGCTTAAAGATATCACGAGGGATCCAAGATGTGCCTCGGCCTCTCCCGCGAGATTATCAGGAGTATCAGAACCTTTATCGGGAACAGGGAGAAATGAAGTTATCAGTGTCGGCTTACACAGCTCAGGCTAGTGCTCACAAGAATCTCTGTAGCTATCAGCAACAGCGGAGCTACGGGGCCACGAATCAGGCGTCCTCGGCCCGGACCCCCTCAGACCTCGCGACGGTCCTTCCTGGCCTCAAGGTTCGTATGCAATTTCTCATTATACGGAGTTTTCTTAATCGGTGTATCATAAGATAACAGTGCTTGAAATTTCATTTTTGGCCATATAAAATTTTTAGTAATTTTTACCACCCTTATTTATTACGATTAAAAAAATTTAATGCGAGATATGTCTCCCACGTAATAATATATTTTATCTATATATTCTTTGATCAATTTGCGTGGGCTTGATTGTTCTTTTTCTAACATAATATACGATATAATTGAGTGAATAGTAAAATAGGTGGTGACGAAGTCTTACTACGATTATACGTTACACTTCGCTTCTTTTACTTCTCCGTTAATGTGAGCTGTGATGCATGCACATTGTGCATGAATAGTTTAAAGCTATATAGATACAGGGTGTTCGAAAACCATATTGAATATTGTTCCACTATTGTCAATTTTGAGGTTTTCAATTGTTGATTTTTTTTAAACAAAAATATCAAAAGAAATCATCACTTACGGTACTTTTCTTAGATTTGTAACATTACGTGTTTTTGTAATTACATTTTAAATTAAGTTTCTGGGGAAGTAAAATCTGTTTGAATTAAAAATGTGATTTTGTTATTTATTGTGCAATTTAGTTTGCTGATAGCAATTTGTTAATTATTTTCAATCATTAATTATTCGAAAACAACATTTTTATTTAATAAAAATTTTTAAAATTCAATTCAAAAGATTTTAAACTTGTTACAGAATCTAAATATAATCTAAAAGAAAAATCCAATGAGATATTTTTTGCAATAATGCAATATTTTACGCTAATAAATACAATTTTCGATAATTGTACGACACTCTATATAACGTTCGTACGTACTTTTACGTACAATTCACAGACAGAGTTTGCCATATTCGCTGGAAACTATAGTGAAACGTTAGATGTATTACATTATGGTAGATTTAATCTCTGGTTAATTGCTGAAATTTCGCGAGCTAATTTAACCAGCAGTTCAGTTTCAATTAGTACTAATTGTTGTTAGAGCAACGGAATATTTTGATTCAACAGATGATTGAATTTAATTGCTAGTCAGAAATTAATCAATGACTATCAGTTTTAATTAAAGGATGTATTTTATTTGGACAGTATTATGTAAAAATGAGTTAACTAAAAATGTACCAAGTAGTTTTGAGTAAACTTAAAGTTTAATAAGCCACGAAAAATAATAGAGGTTTAATCAACAATTCAAATGCATCCTTTTAAAGTATAAGAATTATATGATATTTTTGTTTTATCTTAAAATGCTAACATAATTAACAAAATTTAATTTATATATACATATATACAAAGAGAAGAATAATAGCTTTTTATGCTATATTTTTATACTTGTAACACTAAGAAATATTTATCCTGTAATAAATGACAAATGTGAGAAAAGATAAGATAGATATAAATGTCTAAAACACAAAGCGTGCTTTCAACAAATAAAATAATGAAAAAACGCGCATTCTTACACTAAATATCTTACTCTTATTCTTAGATAACATATTTTATCTCAATATTGAATGTTGTCTCAATCATCTCCTCAAAATCTAGAATGTCGTCAGGTCGAGTGATTGCATAATCGATTCTCTTCAAAATTTCTCTTAAGTTGACTCATCTCTGCATATAGTACCGTCCACTTTACGACGTTGTCCAATTGCGTGGTATAAATTCATATTGTTTCTTCTATGTGAATGCAGCTCTGAATGTCGCAACGTAGGGGTGAGAACGCGCGGTCGAAAAAACGGCGCAGTAGAAAATGTCGAAAAGACAGCCGGTGGTTCGTATCTCGCTTCCCGTAAGTGTCATCATCAGTATTTTTTTGAGGAAAAGTTATATTGTGCCTGGTAAAAGTACATATCTATTCGATTGCTTTTACTCTACTGTCTGATACCTTGATATTATCGCACGAACGCGCCTATTCCCAGCAGTCTATCCACTCTATCTATCAGCAATTGTTTCACTTTCTTCTCTCACTATTTGCAAGGCTCATTTTAAACGATCTGCAATTTTGCGACGACAATTTCTCTTGTTCTAAGAATTACAGATCGCCTTAATGTGGGCCTGAAACTTGCGTAGAAATTGCGTAGAAATTTCCGAGTATCCTATATAAGAGTTTGTCATCGTTTTAACATTTTGTACGACTCTTATGGAGATTTGCTCATTTTTCGTCGTCCTATTTGCTTGATTTCCCTATTCTATGATACTGTCTGATGTAGAGATTCCCTGTTTCGATTCTCGTCTTGATCTATTTAGAAATAGCGTAGTAGAATATGTACTGTGTCTCGGTAAGTATACAAGGAGTCGTCCGTTCTCCGGGTATCACATGTTTTAGCATTCAGATTCACAGCGCGCTATTTCGTTATTAAAGAAATATTTCTCCGAACGTATGCCTTTTTCCTGGAACTCTTTTGAGATTGAAATTTTCCTTTATATTCTCGATTCGAGGCTGTGTGGCGTCCTTTCGTTGCGTTACACAACTTATATATATGTATACACAAGATTGCTATAATTTATCGCACTGTCAGTATGTCTGCAACTAATTTGTATCCCTGGAATGTTTGCTGTCGTGCTGTTCGACGCGTGTAGAGGAACATGTCTCGTAATGTCACGGTGCAATATTTCGAATAGGAAGCTGTTGTGTTAAGCGTATATACCTAGGTTAATTAACATTTCTGAGCGAGCTTAAATATATATTAACCCTTAATTTCACTTGAGTCGTGTAAAACGCAATTTGCTTATGTACGTCTGAAATGTTTCAATAATTTCAACAGCATTATTAGTGAGATTATTATGGATATTACAACCAGAGTGCAAAAACAACCCATGTCACAGTCTTATTGTCTACCTTCTTTTTACTTCGATTCAAACATTTCGAGACAATCGAAAGTTAAAGCAATAATGATAATATAATCCACGCAACTTTCTCGATACCCTCTTTCGATACAGTATCATTGACACTTCGATGTTTCTCTTTCGCTACAAAAAGTGTGCCAAAAATACACTTTTCGATTTACGCCGGAATAAGGAGAACTCCGATACATTAACTTTGATCGGTTTAACTTTTTACTTAAAATTTTGTAATTTAAAAAATTTTACACATTATTATGTAACGTAAAGGAGAGACAAATAATTGTAGAATTTGAAACTTTAATCGATCCACGTAACTTCTTTTATTTCATCTTTTACATTTATACTTTAGAAAATACTGTTAGAAAATCATAGAGAGGTAAGAATCAGTATTTTGGACAATGAAAATTATCTAATAAAATATCATTCACTTATTATCTTGTTAATGGAATGGGAGTTAATTACACTTTGCAATTAATACACACAATTTCCGTAATCAAAGATCAATTTATATGACGGAGAAAAAAGCTTTAGTGAGCTCGAGTCTGATGCTCCGCGGTAACAAAGAACCTTTCATCTTATTCTTAAGAAGATGGTGACATTTTGATATATTGCGCTAATGCGTCTTGATTCCTCATTAAGACAGCACGTGCTACTTGCCGTTACTTGTCGATGTCCAAGCACGTCAAAATACGGTTGCACAAATACGATCGAGGATAGAAAAGCGTGTGATATGTGAAATGCGCGTTAGCCTCTAAAAATCGAAAACTGACAAACGAGACTCTATTGCGGCTCTCCGCAGCGTGAAATTTGCTAATCTAACAATAAGAGGGCAAAAATATATATATTAAAAAAAAAAACGTTGCAAAACCATCTATCGGTCTTTTCGGTCTTGTTTCTCTACCTCGTTTCCAATCGGAGCATAAATTTGCATAAACAGAGTCCGCGATCTGGTCGTAGGTATAGCCGAGCAGAAATACACGTGGCCGCGGTAACCCGATAAAGAAATCCGGACATTGTGCCTGCCATGGATGGACGCTGATAATCGATAGCGCGTTACAGCTGGATGTGCGGTTGATTAGATTGGAAACGGATGTATATCGGCGAGTGTACGCGAACACGGGACACATCTCGCTCAATGGGAAACGAATACTGGATAAATTAATGCCGCAAGCCGCACACACCGGGAGCTTCCCGTGCTGTGCATTCTCTCTCTCTCTCGTGCCGCGCACTCTTTAACCTTCTCGTTAATGTACCACTCTCCAGAAATAAAGATGTCACGCGCGGTTCGCGCGCAGCGCACCCCAATTACCGCTGATTGCCCTTCGAACGTTCGCGCACAAAGTGCCCCTGCGGGACGAACGCTTCGAGAGAATCGGGACAAGCGGTTCGCGTTATACGTCGCGTGACACGAACGATGCCACTTTAATTACGCGTATATATATACGTAGGTATATACCAGCCAGAACAAGCGCGCAACTCGGAGCGTTACGTCCGATGCGGTATACTCGCTCGTTTGAAAAGAGCTCTACGATTGTATTGCACCATATGAAATTCGCCTTGTCTGGGAGGGAAAACAGTACACAGAATTAAGCACAAGATACGTTATTATTTTAAATCGTAACGCATAGTAATTTTCTTAGAACTCTTTGTCCAAAGCGTTTGTACACAGAGTGTCTTTTTGCGTCTGTGAACTTTTTTCAAGATGCTGTAAAAATCTGGCAGCGTATTTTAAAGTTCTGTATCGCAAGTGAGGCTGTCATCTTAAAGTAGATAGCGAGTCGTCATCCCCGATTTAACTTGTCAATTCAAAGTTAAGGCTGTTGATGTGGCTTCACCCTTTCAGGGTGAAGTACCAATCGCGGCGATTAGTTAAATTTCTTTCCCCATCTACATTTTACGAGTAGGGCCGTAATCCGGACGACGATCGCGCTAATTCAGAGTTCAGTTTACTTTAGAGTTAGATTACCTATCTCAATCCAACTATCGACACAATCGCAGTGTTGATGCATAACTAATTCCAAAGGATAGAGATCGGTATAGTTTCGACGGTATATATAAGTTAGATCTTTATGTGATAATACAAAGTTATGGCTTAGGATTTCAGGAAAATAAAGTGTTATTGATGGATTTGTTTTTCTTTTTCTTA